GCCACGAGTGTGAAGGCAAAGGGACCAAGGGGTCAGTGATTCAGAGCCGGCACAGGCGCTAAGGTGGCTGCTGGAAAGCAGCCCTGGCTCTGCTCACGTCTGCCAAGGGCTCGTCAAACCCTGGGGGAGCTGCCGGGGCAGTGCCCGTTTACCCCTGATCTCACCAATAGTGGGGTTTTTTTTCATCATTTTGTGGTGTCCCTGAGCTGATTTTGCTTTCATGCTTTTAAAGCCATGCCCAGCCCTTTGCACGCTGCAGCTGCGCTGGCACTAACACGGTGACATTTTTACCCTGTAGGAGTATGTCGACTATTACGGAGGGGCCGGAGTCCAGCACATCGCGCTGAACACCTCCGACATCATCTCGGCGGTGAGTGCAGCCCCTGGCAGCCCCCTGCCCCCAGCCCGTCCTGCCCCGACACCACTCCACCTCCGCCCTGTCCCACCGGGCACGGTCCTCGACCTTGTCACAGGGCGGTGGTGGACTATGACCCCCATTGGGCTATGAGGACACAAGCAGTGAGCAGGCTTTGTGCCGTGGTTTCTTACAACCAGGCACAGCAAGTCACTGGAAAGGGACCTGTCTGAACCTGCGAGCTGCCAGCAGACGCCTGTCCCTCCAGCTTAAAGCAATTGGGGTCTGCAGGGCCCCCAGTGGCACGTGCTGTCCTTGGGGGGTGGCTGGTGGGGTGGTCAGGACAGCCTGGGCTGAGCCATGGCACAACACCCACCTTTGCCTGGGGCAGATGCTGGTCTGGATTGAGCCCAGCTCCTGTTGAGTGCTTGGTTTTGGGCTCCTCTCCAGACCAAAGGGCCTCCGGGGTACTGGGAGGGGCAGGGTGGGAGGAAGCATCCTCGCATGGTGGCCAACTCTCTGCATTGCCTGGAGAGGGCATCTTGAGCCCTCCTGTTCCTGGTGCCCAAAGCGAGAGGGTGGCACAGGTCCCCATGCACGAAGTTGGCCAATGTCAGGGGAAAGTATCACCCTGCCTCCTGACACCATCCGTCCCAGGCCATCCTCTTGGCACAAACCACTCCATGAACGAGCCCCAAGCCTGACCCATGCCAGGGTCTCCCCTTGCCTTGCAGATCACCAACCTGAAGCAGCGGGGCATGCAGTTCATGGAAGTTCCATCTAGCTACTACCAGATGCTGCGGGAGAGGCTGAAAACTGCCAAAATCAAAGTGAAGGAGAACATCGACAAGCTGGCGGTGAGTCAGACCAGCCTGAGAGGGAAAAGGTTCGCCTGGGGCTGGGTCGGATCCCCACAGTGTTTTGCAGGGATCAGGGTGATGGAGAGGGATCCCCTTGCTCCTCTGTGGGTCTTCAAGCTGATGCCCTGTTTCTTTTCTCCAGGAACTAAAAATCCTGGTGGATTTTGATGAGAAAGGCTACTTGCTCCAGATCTTCACCAAACCAGTTCAAGACAGGCCCACGGTCTTTCTGGAGGTCATCCAGCGGCATAACCACCAGGTTGGTTTGAGGATTTCACAATGATCTTGGCTTCAAGACCTCAGGGCCATCACGTGCCATCACCCAGCCAGCTCTCAGTGCTGCTCTTTCCCAGCCGATTCTGAGCTGACGAACCCGCTACCTATCCCCGCAGTCTGTAACGTTGTCGTCTCCGCAGGGCTTCGGCGCTGGGAACTTCAAGTCTTTGTTTGAAGCAATAGAAATGGATCAAGACGCAAGAGGAAACCTGACCATCCTGGAGCCCAACGGGGAGACCAAGCGCATCTAGAGCGTGGCAGAAAACGCCGCCCTCGCCCCTAATGAGCTGATTCACAAATGAACCAGGAAACGGCCAATGTTTTGGTAAATAGTCCAGACCTAGGTGTCATAAACCCAGGGAAGCTGCTGCCAAGTTGGAGACGTAAAAGGACTCAACGCCTACCCCGACCCAGCCCCAGCGCTGCCCTCCGGTGACTTCTTGGGAGAGGGAGCGTGGGAAATAGCAAACATGCTCTTAAAAAGCACTTTGATCTGATCCAAACCACCAAATTCTTAACAAAGGGCAGATTTAAGGCATGTGCCCAAGACACGCAGCTATGGAGGAAGACAGAAGCAGCGACTGAGAGTGCTTAAATTTAGCCTATCCAAAGTTTTCTGTTAATTTTAGCTACGTGGGAAGCTGGGAGAGGAAGGCACGGAGGCGTTTGCCTCTCCGTGCATCTCATTTTGTAAGATTTAATTTTAATTGCTTTTAGACTCAATCTTGAATTTGCTGAGATTAAACACACAGTTTTGGGGTAGCTACAACATTCTGGAATGAGACTTTATCAAATTTACGTATTTCAGCCTTCCCAAAGCAACGCAGTCTTGCTCTAAACCTGTAAATTCCTGAATTAATGAACAGTTGGGGTTTCTCCCGTTTTTCAAGAAGTAATTGCTGGCATTGGCAGCAATTCCTTGGCTCAGATCCTGGCTGCATGTGCAAAGTCCCCTCTGGGCATCGATCTGGTGGTGTCACTGCCCTTTGCAAGGGGACTTTGCCCACCAACACAATAAAACCCTTTTCTGTCACAGCTTGACTGTCTGGGAAGTTAACGTGTCAGGGCTGGAGCCCCCCCTACCCCACGTTTGCTGTGGCTGCAGGTCGAACGCTCCCTGAGGAGTCCGCAGGTCTCAGTACACAACTGCTGAAGAACATCTCGGGGGCTCTGGTGTCCCCAGGTCTCCCCCATTGCACACCTGCCCTCCAAGGCCCCGGTGCTCCCACCGCTGGTCCCCACATTCCCCAGCATTGAAGCTGCTCAAATCCTGAGCAGCCAAAGCCCCTGCCAAACCCTCGGCTCAGGACGGGCTCCTCGGACACAAGTCCTCCCCCCAGCCCCTGCCCCATCCCACCACCCTCCAGGCTCAGCGCTGCTGAACAGCACCTGAGCTGCCTTCATTTAAGTACGATTTCACAGCAAAATCTGCATATGATCCCAGCTGCTAGCCTTCCCATGTTTGGGTTCCCCCCCCCCCCCCCCCCCCCTCCCTTCCCCCCCCCCCCCAGCCACTCCAGTCGCCTCTGCTCCGGGTACTTCTTTTCCTAAAGCTCCAAGAAGCCACTTTGACCACCACCACATTCACAGTGGCAGCAGCAGCCCCCAGCGAGGGAGGTGGGGGGCACATGGTCCTCCCGGGCCGTGCTTTCATCCACACCAAACCTCAGTGGCTCCCCCCTCCTGTAAACCCCAGGTAACAGAATTCATTTCAGATTTGAATAAAGTGATTTAAAATTTAAAAAAAAAGAAACCAAAGGGCCTCTGGCCCCAACAGCCTTACAGCATCACCCTAAACAGCAACGCTAACACTTTGCTTCGTAGGTTAAGGGCTTTTGCCTCCAAAAAGTTAAAAAAAAAAAAAAAAAAAAAAGGTGTGAAATCAGAAAAATCCAGGGCAGAGGCTGCAGGAGCAGGGACCCTCACCGGCCCACGCAGCACCACCGAGGTTGGACGGGCTGGGGGCACCCGGCACGGGGGCCAGGACCTGGCCACACTCCAGCTCTTAAGCATTGTTGGGATTTTTAAAACAAAGAAAATTTTCTTTCAGTTTATAAACTTAAATCAACTCACATTTCTTTCACGCAATACAACGTTGCTTAAAGTAATTTCCTGCTCACCAGAATTAATATTTTCAGTAAACTTTGCTGAAAATCAGTTCTTTGGACTGCTCTTCTTCTGGATCTGCTTCCTTGAGCGTTCATGGTTCCCAGCATGGGTCTGAGAGCAAAAAGCTCTTCCCTGGCTATACATTAAGCACAACATAATTTTTCTGTAAGAAAAGTCAGTATATTTATGGTTTGCTTTATAAAAGTTACTATAATACAATGGTACATAGTATTCAATTCACAAAAATATGAACAAATATGTACAGCATGACACATCCACAACAAAAACACTTTCTTCAAAACAAGATACATACTGGTGACAGATTCTATATGCACAAAACATCCCTAAATTTATAAATTTGCTTAACGAAAGAAAAAGCAGAAATCCTAAATCTTCAAAGCAGAGTTGGTTTTTTTCTTTTTAAGGAAACTTAAAAAAAAAAAATTAAGATTTTTTTTTTTCATTTATTGCAAACCATTTTACTTGCCTCCTTTTAAAGGAGGCCCTTTATTTTCACACTGTGAATTAAAACAACCTGTTTATTAGAACCAGAAAACTGTGAGGACTGGGAGCCGGGTGTTCTTCCATGTTGCTTTTAAAACTGCCCATTGGTTTTAGAGTGTCCGTCACGATGTGTTTCTTTTCACTTGGACAAATACTACAGTGGCAATTAAGGAGGAAACTCATAAAAACAAAACAAATATTAAATTGAAAAAAAATCCAGTTGCAAACTCACTTAAATACATTTTAGGTTGTCTATTAGACTGTACACATTTCCTCGCTTGAAATAAATAGATTTTGCACATAAGGTTTCAGACTGGGGGGGGAGGGGGAAAGAAGAAGCCTTGACTTGGCAATTTTTTGTCTTCAGTTTCTTAATGCTTCTAATTCCATCTATTTATTTGACAAAAAACACATTTATACAGAATTTACATTATACAAAGCTTGACACAAGCTGTAAATGCCACCAGCTCCTTTGCTATACTTAGTCCTTCTTCCTCCCCATCTCCTCGACATGATTTAGAGCTGGAATCTGTTTAAAAAGAACTCCAAATTACAATAGTCACTTTTAATAAATTATTTACATGCTCTTGAAGTACAAAGAAATCAGCAAAAAAATTTCAACATGTTTCTACAAGAAACAGTGTTTGAAGAGAAGATTCTTGAGTTTGCCTATGTACAGAAGATGCATTTTTTTTTATACTTCAAAATCCTTTTTTCCTTAAATTTTTATTTTATACAGAAATGCACTGAAATGATCCCTGAAAAAGGTCACAAAAACCGGAACTGAAACTACTGTATACTTTGTTGGAGTTTAAAAATGGTTTTTGTTTTTTTTTTTCTTGTAGAAATAAGCTGCTGTATACAATATAAATATCTGCAAGATGAGCCCCTTCCCCTCCCAGCCCCCCGATAGTCACAGACCACTGATTGGGACCAACCTGGAACTGCAAACCGGGGTGCGAACCGAACGGAGAAACGAAGGTGTTGGGCAGCGGCAGGGGGGATTTTGCAAGCACAGAGCGTGCTTCCCAGAAACGCCAATGGCGGAGGCATCTGTACCCTGAACTCAGGCCAGCTTCACGTTGGGAAACTAAAGGTTTAAGTTGTATTTCCAAAACCTTTCCACGATTCTCTTGGGTTACATTTCACCTAGCGAGATACAATTTTGCAGGGAGCACAGTCAATGTCTCTCTTTTTTTTTTTTCTTTTTTTTTCTTTGTCTTAGGTTTCAATTTAAGTGAAAATAAATTGGGGACAGGTTTTTTAGTAAACAAACCAACTTCAGTAAATCTCCGTAAAGCAGCACGTGCTGGTGAGGTTTCTTTTTAGCCCTTGTCACTATTTCCATGGGATGCCGGGGCGCCTGTGCTGACGGCGGGAGGCGAACGCCGGGTCCGATCCAGGCTGGCGTGCTCATCGCACGCCTTCTGCCTTTCTCCTCTCACCTTGCCCCTTCCTACGCACCAGCTGAAGTACCCGGGAGGGACTGGAAAGGCCTCTCCATGGGGCTGCCTTCCAAAGCCAGCTCTGAGGCTGCAGGGCTCCCCCACCCCGATCAGACCCCGCCAGCTTGCAGGGACAGGGCAGCCACAGGCAACTGCGGCAGCTCATGGAAATCACTAAGCCAGGCTTATCATCCTCACCATGAAAGGCGCTGGTTTGGGGGACGGGGCAGCTCTGCAGCCTCAGACAGAAGCTGCACGGCGAGGACTCTGCGAACCAAGATTTACGGGGAAGAAACGAGAAGCTTCAGACTTGTCTTTGAGACCAGACTAATCTGATTTTTCAGAAGTGCTGTGGGTCCAACAGCTCCCTTTCCTTCTGGGGGGCTACTGGGAGCTCAGCTCTTCCAAAAACTCATGTTATTTGTCTGGAATCCTAAAAAAGGATGGGTTGCGGGCAGTTTCAGAAGTACCCAAGTGATTTAGGTGCTCATGGTCTTTGACACCCAAATCCCTTCAGTGCTCCTAAAGCACGGTGAAGGAATCCAACCTGCAGGTCTCGTTTCAGAAGACCATGACCTGCCTCCTCACCTCTCCTCAACAAAGATTAAGGCAAACTGCAGGGGCTAATCCCATCCAGAGCACACAGATACACTGGGAAATACAAAACTGTCAGCGGGTACTTAGGGGCTGGGCCATTTGGGGTGTCTTCACTCCCACAAAACCACCATTAATGCACCGGTTTGATGGACCACAGAGGAAGGTGGCCAAGGACATCAGCAGAACTGCTGCACATACGGGCTTCAGTTCTGAGCCACAGGAAACTTCTGTGCATTTCCAAAGATTTGAAAGCAAAAGGCCAAGCTGTAGAGATGCCAACTGGAGCGTCAACACAACAAGATGAACCTTACTTTAAAAAAAAAAAAAAAAAAAAAAAAAAAAATCGAGCAGCTGATTTAACTCCCAAATGCTCCTGCCATCGCTGCAGTTACAACCAACATTCAATGACAGAAACTAGTTGTGCTTCTCATAATTTTAGGTTCTGGGTGACCACTACCCAATTGCTGGAGAGATTTATAGAGGGGGAAAATGACAAAACCAACCCAAAACAAAACCAGACTATGGACTGTCCAATCTCAGCGGCAATTTCCTCGCCCTCAGACAGGAATACAGGCAGTATTAAGGCAGCTTGTAGC